TTATAATTTTTGATTTTTATTTATTATAATAAAATTGTTATTATTTTTTGTTTATGATAGAATTTAGAAGTATATGTATTTAGCTTGTACTATTAAAGGTGAATAGTTGAATATTTTTATCGAAAATTAGTGTTAATTCATAGTACAATTTTTTTTTTTTAGACAGGCTATCGCCATTCATTGTAGATTGGTATTATGAATTAAAATATTGTACTAAAATTGTGTTTGAAAAGAAAACAACCTTAAAAAAACTATTGATCAAATAAATATAATACAAGTCGCTGTTTATACACTGAATAAAAACTATAGTAATATTAACAAAAAGTAGGAAAACAAATAATACCGAATGAAAAAATGTGTGGAGACCAAGGGTGGAGGGCTAGGAATCTGGTCCTGTTTTATATTTCTGATTCGTTAAAATACAAATTTTGTGTACAAATGTTGTGTCTAGCTCACTTTTTTTTCATTCTTAGATCCATTCATGCAGTATATGGCATATGCTACTGATGAGTGATGGATGTTATATTTCCTATTTCCCACTCTACCCTTTATTTTYTATAAAACTTTTCTAACATTTCCTTCAACTATATCCCATATATTTTAATTAAYATAATATACACAAGGTAACATTTTGGAGGAACCCTAAGACACAAAATTTGAATTTTTAATTACACATTTGGGCATTAAATTACATCAGTTATGAACTAATAAAGATTATAAATTTTGTCATAAATAATGYTTAGTTCAAAAAGTGTGTCTGGTAGATGTTTGACATCGAAATTATTTCGTGTAGAAACTTTGCATGAGAATTGAAAGATTGGCGTATTAAAAGAAATAAACGTGGCATAATAAAAAATTAATTATCAGATTTTTTTAAGAAAACTTTTTCTTTATTTTAAAGGCGCATTTGGTGTTTTGCAAGACGCATTCGAGCGTGACGCTCGTGTGATTATGGTGACGTCTTCACGCCAAAAGCCGGTCTCATCCTACAAATTAAACATTTGACATCTAAAATTCTAGCGTGTGTATAAATTATTAAATTATGTGCTCAATAATATATTATAATAGTATTTAGGAACCGGGTATAAAATATGTATATACAATAACATAGCCGCGGACTGTAGTGATCTGCCATCGTCTAGACTCGCGTCTTTAGGGGTTATCTAAATGGATTTTGTTTGTTTCGTCACCACTAGATAATAAAACTAAAACACCGAAAAGTATAAAAAGGTTTAATCGATTTCAGCCAAATGCATTAAACATATTGTATATTTATGTATACCTATTGTTCGATCGACGTCGCTGATCGTAAAATCATTTAAAATACTATTATTATTATTATTATTATTATTATTATACCTAAATCTGATGATCGATAATATATAGTTACATCTCCATAGGCACTTAATTGCATTTGTGCATTAGTAAGGAATTCGTGATGGTATAGGTAGGTCGTACACGTTATAATATGTTTCGTAGTTTTTTTTTTCGTACGTAATAAGATTACTGCTAATACTATTCAATTGAATTATACGGGCATTGTAGTTTGTGTAGCTATACTAAAAATTAGAACATTTAAATACGTTTATATAGGAGGTAACTTCTTTATATACCTATTTTATGATTTATATACTATTTAATCACCAYGGCGGTAAACTCTGCAGGTACCTATTAACATACCGCGTATATAGTACGTATAGTCGGTGTAGGTAATATAGAATACATATTTACACGTACGGCGCGCGGCGTACCGCCATCAACGCAAAATACGAAAATAATTAGTTTATTTAATTATAAGTACCTACTCGTGAAAATAAAAGTTATAATAGAAAATATAAAAAAATAAAAATAAATTATTAAATCAAGAGTAATATAATTAACGTGCATTTCAACCCACTCCGTCAAATTTGGAAAATCGTTTTTCGTCTACCATTAATTTGCGCGAATATGTTTTTTATGAAATACAAAAACGCCTCTTAAAAGTTATTTAAGCGATATAGAGATACCCACTTACAATAGCACACCTCTTAAAACTTAAGTAAAATATAATATTAAAGACTATAAGAAGTTATTTTATAGATAACATTCATTATATCAAAMATTTTTAACGGAAAATGTTGCTTCCTATAATTTGCAGGAGGCATTAAAAAAAAAAAAAACAATTTTCAATATAACACATTTTTTACGTTATAATTGTTATTACTTATATCAAACTATTTTAATTATTTTGTTATAAAAAATCGAATTTTAAATTAATTAGTTATAATTATAATTTATAAATTATAAGTTTAGATAAATTGAATTAAATGGCACAATATTCGATACCACCAAAATGTTTGTCCATTAGTCCGCTTATCTAAATTTTAATTTCTTGTATAGCATCTATTATAATATAATAATGATAGTTTGATAATTATGGTAATATCTGGTAACTATGATTTATGATTAATAATAGCAATCACTAAATACATTATTTTAACTAAAAAAAATATTTTTTTAAAGTTAGCTTTTTAAGATAATGAGTGTTTGCAATTAAAATAATTACCCATTGTAAGAAATTTAATTATTTAAAGTCTAAATCATTACATATATAAATTAATAACATCTTGAATCTCATGAACAGCAAAAATAGTATAATTTGTTCATTTTAAACAAGTAAGTTTGTCTTAGCAGTGACTAAGCACTTTCCAATTTCCTAAATAAAACTTTTTTTATACACAATTTTCTGAATGTGTATTTTGTCCAAACCCATACTCAAACTACCTTGCTATAAGTATACGTATTGATAAATTTAAAAATAGGCAAATGGATGCAAATTACAATTTTAATTATTTCAAGTATATAGTTTTTCTAGGGAATGAAACACATTTCTAAATCATTCGTGTCTTTCAACACAATTATAAAAATATTATTAAAATGCCTCAGCACGATAATTATAAGTACCTACYTAATGTAGTAACGTTTTATGTTTAGAATTTGGTACGTCATAACACTCATAACTATTAATACAAACTCGTATTTATTCTGAAATAATTCAACTTCTACTGTTTGTATTCTCAAGATGTCATATGTACTAATTATTGGTTTATTATTAACAAAGAAATAATGCAATATTTACATTTTACAACAATAACAGTTTCGTTTTAAAAAWTCGTAATTTTTACCAAACTATACGGCCCACGGGGTCTTACGAATTTAAATTTACGATTTATCAAATTCGAAGTAATCGTCGAATAGGACGCTTACAAACGTATAGATATAACATAGACAATTTTACGTTCCAATAATCAATTTTACTCTGTTATTTTTAAAATTAGAAGAATTGACCTAAAATAAAATTTGAWKGTAATTATACGGTAAAGGTATTAGGTATAAATCTGAAGCTTTAATTGATATATTAGTTATGAAGTAGTATATAGTTATGCTTATGGACATTTTAAAATAATCATACAAACACTGGGTTGCATGAACAATCACAAAACATTTAACGAATCAATAGTATAAGCTAATGATCCCTTAAACGTGATTTAGTGGACCACCTAACCATCAAATAAACACATTTTTCATGCAACCCGGMACTAATATTTTAATGAYCAGTTCACTTAAATTTTAAAAATAACCGAGAAAATCGGATTATGGTGGTGAAACAGTGTAAATAATGAACCAAAAATCGTTACTATTATTACTTAATATTGCTTCATATATCGTATTAAATACATACGTAATACTTGAAACTGGAGGTCTATTGTTAACTGTCTGCTATATACTGCAAAGAGTGGCCCTCGTTCTAAAGAAGAGTTTCTAAAGGAACTTTATACGAGTAGTATTAAAGCTTAAAAAACTCACAAAATATTCGATCGCAGCACACTATTCTAGGTACCTATACATAATGCATAATATATAGGTTTCAAGCGAATTTGCCCGCCGCTGCTATAACAAGCGTCAAGTTATACATAMCTGCTACGACTTATTACTGGGCAGTTTTGTTTTTTCTACCCGTTCGTTCGCGCAACATAAAAATAAAAAAATCATACSAATACGATAATATCTAATATTATCATTATTATTATTGTGTCGAGACAGACGGGGTTAATGGGTCTGCCGCCGCAAATCCCCCTGCAGTCCGCTGTACACTACGATTCCGACGAAGATAATATTAATTTCTACCCACCACCCTACGTGTTTTTTTTAGCCGTAGCTCTTTCGTAAACTACCCTACCCGGATGTGTAAGTGATGTCGACGGCAGCCATCAGTGTATATAAGGGCTACTTCGCCGCCCCATGAGCATCACTGAGTTGCCCGACTTTGAAGACGACACTACAGCTGTAACAGAAGTATACTCGAGGTAAATCACATTTTTTTTTTTATACACTCTACGTTTATTTCTCTATCGAGTGCTATTATATATTGGCTGGCCGTTTTTAGTTTTATRTTRTTTTTTTTTTTGCAGTCGTAACTTTGAACATGCTTATAATATAATATATTTTAACTGCGTATCAGCGATAAATACAACGTGCCTACTTAAAGCTATAAACTTAAACGCTAGGCATATTTTCATACGTTTTCACGACGTTGATTGAATATATTTCACCGTACGATTACTAATATTATATGATATCATAATTTTTGATCCCTTTCAATAATACATTATATTAATAATAATTTATAATAGTTTATTCAATATTTTTTTAGACTTTTTGGTTTTTATTTAAAAATACTTAACTTTATAACAGAATGGACACTTGTGGCTGTTCTCGGATTCGGTTTATGTTTTAATATGGTCCTACGCAAATATCAATTAAGCATAAGTTATTCTATATTTAATATATTCTTATAAATGTCTATATAGTTTTAGCATTGTTCTAGCTATTTTGTAGTTTTGTACGAATAAATATTGTGGTATTGTCCACCYTAAAATAYCATYGAATTTATTTATTTGCAATTTAGTCTTTATAGAAGGTATCGGTTGGGCATTGTAATAAATTCACAACGATTCGGAATACGACACTGAAAAAACTTCTACAATAATTATAGAGCGTGCCTTGCTACTTACTATTATATCACTATTTTCGTCCACCGGGATAGATAGGATTATAAGTTWAATTTTTTTTAAAGCCAAACATACTATTACAGTATGTTTGGAGACTCGACTCAGCCGAGTCGCAATAACTCAAAGTTGAAAGATGATAAAAATTCGCTTCGAAATATCTAACTAATTACTTGGGGAGTAAAAAAAAAATTCCAGTCGTCGAGTTTTTCGAGTTATCGTAACTCGAATATATTATTATTAGGTATTATAAATTGTCTATGCGTTAAATCTATAATATTATTATGTTTATGTATTAATGATACACCTAGACGAAAATCACTATTTTGAATATTATTGTTGTTTTGACACTACTTATCGTAGTTGCGCCTGTTGCGTATATACACTCGCATATTAATATCGTATATTATACGATTTATTTTTTAATTTTCTTACAGCTAAATCGTCACCGAACATAACATTCAGCAGCCATGAAATTCTACGTAGTATTCGGTGTTTTGGCAGCTTTGGCTATGCACGCTCTCGCTGACGAAACCAAAGATAGCGTCCCATCAACAGTCTCCGCAGCCATCGACCGAGCTACAGCTGTTACGAAAGCTACCATTTCGAACGATAGTAAGTATAGTTTCAGTGATTATTATACATTCGAATTGGCTTATTTATGTAYATAAATTTATATTTTAAACGTTTAAAATTTTTTTTGAAAGTTTTATTCTAACGATTTACGTATAATAACTCTGTAAAGTGTAAACGATAGAATAAAAATATTCGTCACCARAACGATTATAATTTAATATGATTTCATGAATGTATTTTTTTAATGCACCTAATTATGTTAATAYAACACAGTAGACGCGAGAAACTAATCAATCATCATATTTTCGATTAATTACATAATTAAAAATTAAGTATCAAGAATATCGTTATTTTTTGTTAGTTTTTCTATAAACATCTAAAATGATTCAGTTACGTTTGTCCCTTTCTATAAATAAAAATATTTTAAAGTTCCTATTTCAGTTTTTARTTTGCAATCAAATAAATAAATCTACATGACTTATTGTTTAAAAAATTTACATTTTTTTTTGAAAAGTTCAAAATAATTTGATTCAAACAAAAATGGCATAATTAGTTGTATTTTTTCATACAAAAAATGTGTTTATCACAATATTATAATAAACCATGAAAATATCTTCCTCGAATACGTRACTTAATGCCTGCGTTATCAAATAATGTAATTTAATAACATTATAATAGAACAGCCACTATAGTTAAACCGAATTTCTATAACAAAATAGGTTCGTCTAATGATCTTTGCAGTGTTGTAGATACAAACAATCTATTGGGCGATGGGGGTTTTTATTCATTAAAAAAAATGTACCCAAAATCAGATAATGTGTTGAACTAAAATAATAATATTATACCAAATATGTAATAATCACCACAACACGTCATCATTGGATTTACGTAGAATATTACCGTCTCAAAACGCGCATAGAACAGAACGCACGTGTGGGTACTGTGACTGAGGTGCTTTTTAAGTGACAATTTGTTTCAGATGAAAATTGGTCGTTGATCCCGAACAGCTATGGCGCAGCTTTGGCCACGGGTGGGGTGGTCGTGATCGGAGTGGTCGTTTTGCTCGCGATTTCGGCAATCGTCAGCCCATTGTTCGGCTACAGACTTTGCCAGATATTCAGCACCTGTGAAGTCCCACCAACAGCAACCGGATACAGCGCAGACGCGTACCAATCGTTCCCGCCGACTTACAACAAGAGGTAAGCAATTCACTTCCGTTTATTTGTTTATTATTATTCTCTGCATGTAAAGTAGATAGCTCTAGGTACTTACCTACTTGCCGCGAAATTCTCGGTTTTTTCTTTTATTTTAATGATGAGGGATATCACCATGACGCGTTCAATGAGATTATGTTTTTTTTTTTYATTCGATCGAGGAATCGGCGTTATCGGGACTTAAACTTTGACGTGCAGCCAAACAGCGATTTTCGTTCTCTATGTTATTCACACACATTCATTCATAGAATGTTTATTGAAAATATGTTTAACATTTTAATGTTTATTCTGCTTTAAATACGGCGAGCATTTATTTTTTCATTTATTATTGAAAGAAAAAATCACCACGCGGTCGTATTGCGTTTGACTACAATTAGACACGAAAAATCAGATAACGCGCCGTCAGTAATTTGTTTTTATTTAATTWCACTAGCTAMTTAAAATCTTTTTAAWRCTTTTGTAAATAATTCGTGCCAGTAGTGAACCGTAATTTAAATGTATTAAATACCGACAACACTAAACTGWAAATTAATATTGAAAAATCSGCGGACAACTCAGTACGAAACATGAGTGTACTATATTGGAATTTTGTTTTTATTTTCAGATCTATCGAGTACGTCAAGCCAATCTTGCAAGTTTTGAACTCAGCCTACGAAAAGTACGGGCACGGCGCTATTCCAGCGGGTTTGGTCAACACCATGAGGAACGTCAACACACAACAATGACCGGTTCGAGTCAACATCGATTGCAGCTAGATTTTCATTCCGGAAGAATTTCAATTTTTTAAGTCGACAATTATTATGYAAAACATTCGTATAATATAATATAATGTTCACATGTAAATCATAATCACTATATATCTAGCTGTAAATATTATACTATTATCGTGTTTAACCGGCACATGTCGTTCACGAACAATAATAATATAATCATATTTAATATTATAATAAAAACAATACATATATAAAAAAATAAAACAAATAGTCAAACAATTATTTAAATACACATAATATATTCCTAACTCTATATAGAATCTAAAAATAACGATTCTTATTACAAAAAATGGCATTATTGGTACATGTAACCATTTTTAGGTAATGTATAATTTGTCATGCTGTCCGAGTACTCGTACATTAATATAATCATTATAGAATATTAATGTCATAACGCGGAGGTGTTGCGYGCAGTTCTAGTCATCGTCTCGACCGTCGCTCAAGTGGTGGTGAGCTTAGACCTCCGGGCCAACAGGATCATCTTTTCCTTTTCCTCTTCCTTCTGGTCGATGCTCATCTGCGACCGGATACTGTGCGCCAGCGCCGCGTTTTGCACGCGGCTGTTGCTGACCGTCCGCAGCGTCGGCAGCCGCTTGTGCATCTCCTTCTCCACCCACTTGAGCATGGTGAGCACGGCGTCTGGACCGGACARCCGGAAGTCGGCGGCCGTCTGGACCATCGGCGACGGATCGACGCGGAACGTGCACGCTATGCCCTGCAGCGCCAGCATGGCGTCCTCGTTGCCAGCGTACACGACGCGCACCCGCTCAGACCAGTCGACGCCGTACGTGGTGCGCAGTATGTAAATGGACGCGCGGCCCTGGTCCCACGTGACGGGTGGCTTGCCCTCGATGGCCAAGAAACCGCGGTGGGGCTCGAACCCKGCCGCCTCGAATATCTCGACCGCTCGGTGTTCAAGAAGTTCGCGACGGGCGACCGGCACCTCCCGGTAGTGGTACGTCAGCATAACGCCCTTATTCTCCACCCAAGCGCCGTCGCCGCACACCTCGTCCGCGAGCGCCTTCTGCAGCTCGGCCACCTTTTGCTCGTACTGTCTAGGCACCGGGTGCACGAAGTTGGTGCCGTCCGGGTGCAGGATCTCGATGCCGTGGCTGCCCGCGTACGTCACGTTCTCGATGCCCACCATCGATTTGACGTTGTCCAACGTCCGGCCCGATATGATGGCGATGTTCACGTCCGGCATGCGGCTGAGCCGCTGCAGCACCTTGACCGTCTCCTCGGACATGACGGCCAGGTCGGGATGCGACGTGAGGTGCGTGAGCGTGCCGTCGTAGTCCAGGATCARGCTCAGCTTGCCAGCGCCYGCGATGTGATTGCTCAGGTACATGTCGAAGTCGTCCAGTTGCAATTGCATACTCTTGGACGACCGGTTACCCCCGCCGATACCGCCATTCGCGTCGCTGTCTTCGTCGTCGTCKCCGAGCGCGCCCATCGACGAGAAGAATGACGTCATCCAGTAGTTGACGTCCAACAGCTGTTCGCGGTGCCTAAGCTGCGTCATGCGCAGTTCGCGTTCGTCCAGCGGCATCCCCAGGGCTCGGTGCAGCACGTTGGCCATCTCGTCCAGCTCGTACGGGTTRACCAGCAGCGCCTCGTGCATGGTGCCACCGGCGCCAGCGAACGGTGACAGGATCAGCACGCCCGGCGTGCGGATCTGGCACGCCACGAACTCCTTGGCGACCAGGTTCATGCCGTCCCGGAGCGGCGTCACCAACGCCACCGCGCAGTCCCGGTACAGGGCGGCCAGCTGCTCCTGGCTCAGGCACCCGTAGATGTACCGGATCGGCGACCAGTTGGGCATCGAGAACCTTCCGTTGATGCGGCCGATCAGCAGTTCGGTCTCGTCCTTGAGTTGTTTGTACTCTTTGACGTCCGTCCTGGATGGCACCGAGATTTGCAGCAGCACCACTTTCTCTCGGTGCTCGGGATACTTGTCCAGGAATTTCTCGAACGCCAGGATCCGATGCACCAGACCTTTAGTGTAGTCCAGCCTGTCCACGCCCAGTATCACCTTGACATCGTCCGACATGGTTAGGAACGCTGGCGCCTTCTCCGACAGTTGTACGAAACGGTCGAACGGTATGCCGATCGGCAGCGCCTTCACTTGTATAGTCCTTCCGGCCAGCTCYACCAGCATGTTGGTCCGATCCACTCGGCACCCGAGCCGACGACAGCAGCAATCAATAAAGTTCAAACAGTAGTCCTCAATGTGGAAGGCGGTAAAATCGTAAGCTGTAAATAGTATGCCATTTGTTATTGCAGTATTTAATATTTTGTGCATATTTTAGGATGTCAGTTAGGTACGTCGTTTTATTATGATATGTACACCTATAATATTTATATTATATTTTATACCTATCTATCGTGATGGCTGATAATATTAGTCAAAATAATTAGTAACGTTGCATTTTTTCGGATACTGTAATATTATAATAACATACTCGTATATAAGAAGAAGAAGTTTAAATTTCATAAAATGTAATTCGAATTTTTAAAACACGCCTTCAAAAAATTGTGTAGTCCACGTAAAATGCATTATATTATTCCTACAAACTGTCATCGCCGTACGCAGCGTGAAACCATAGTATAAGGTCTATGTGGGAAACATAATTTCCATACCACGTACTATTATATTATAAAAATTATAAACATTATATGATGTACATTCATTCCAAACGTAAGTAAAAAACATTATTATTTTTATACTATTAAAAAATACCTATCTATTTTTATTAGTCCTGTGAGTTAGTTAATTAAATACACTGAATTATAAATTTATAAACATAATATTATCTATTAATTAATTATACATTAAAAATTGGCGAAATATACCTAATCTGAAAATCTATATGTTACATCATAGGCTAATGTACACTTTAAATTTCTAAGGTTATTATCACGCGTGATAAAATTAATTGTTTTTAAATAAAATTTTAAAAATWATCTTGTCAAACTCAAAATACTAAATACTAAATAGGATATATTCTATTCATTTTTGTACAATTCTATTATTTTAAGCACCTAGTTTACATATAAAAATTGTAAGTCGTACCTAATAACAATAATAACTAATAATTGCAATTAATTGAAAAATCATATTTAAACCATCAAAAAATAATTTGTTTTTATTAAAAACTGGCAAATTATAATTTCAATCCACAGAAAAAAATATTCATATCAGTATAATATCGCAGTCTATATAGATTATTCGCTATTGAAGATTAATCTAGATCAGCGGTTCTTAACCTTCTGTAGAACACGTACCTAACGGATCAATTGCTTCTCGAATACCTTTTTATTACAAAACATCACATGTTATGATAAAATTATAAAAATTATTTTATATTACAAATTATAGGAAGTAGGTTTAGGTTTATCTCTTACAATATAAGAAATATTTTATATAAAAAATAAAAAATAATAATCCAAAAATATTATAATAATGCACTCATGTAATGTATTGACTTATGTTAGGTGTTAAGGCTTCCGCGGACCTCCAACATGAGTATCGCGGACCCCGAGGGAGCCACGGACCACAGGTTAAGAACTGCTGCTAAACCACCATATATATTATAAAATTATGAAAGTATGTCAAATATGAAAAAATATACAGTATAGCGTAACTGCGTAAGTATATACCCAATATTTTCGTACAATATATATGCAGTGTAGAAATTAAATGAAACACATTTTGACCAAAAATCACTTACTCATTTAAACCTTCTATGAACTATAAGGTAATTAAAATACACGTAAATGCACTTCGTTTATAGCCTTAATTAAAACTTTAGTACCTACCTTAATTTAATTTTATATTATCTATACGCACTAAAGTATTCTCAATAATTAAACGTCGATACTCAGCTCGATAGAAAAGGAAGCTGCTGAAAGTTTTAGTTTTAAAATTGAAAACATAAAACCATTAACGGTTATTCTATGGTGTAAATATTATAGTAACTATAGATCAAATTATTAAATATATATCATAATAATATGGTGGTGGTCTTCAACATTATTATATTCGCGAATCGCATTCCATTTAAATTGTTATTTATATTTTACGAGTTTACAACCCATCATAAGCTTAAAAAAAGCTGATTGTTAAATAAAGTTTTACATAATAATTTGTGTAAAAATTTATCAATTTAAAAAAGGTTTACTTCATAGTAAAAGCATTTTAGTAGATAAACAATTAAGTTTAATTGGTACTAACTTTAACACCTCTTTGAGCAGCAGTACAAATAGCAGGTGTAAAAATTTATCAATTTCTAACTAAGATTTGATTTACATATTTACGGCGTTTTTTTTCTATATAGTAAAATAACATGATCTAATTCTGATATTAAGATACCTAAAATTGAGTCATGAATCATCAATACTACTAACATAAAATTATGTTTACTTACCCAACATTCCCTGTAGAACTTGATCGTCCCAAGGTAACAGCCTCATAATGTCCCACGATGGAAATGGTATGTGCAAGAAGAATCCCAACTTACACCTGAGGTTTTCGGCTTCACACGCCTGACGGATTTTGGTTGCAGTCGTCAGTAATTGATAATCATGAATCCAAACCAGTGGCGCCGTGTGGTGATCTCCAGCGTCGTCTAGGGTTTTTATAGCACTCCGCAGGGCATCCAGTGTGCAATCGGCGAACTTGTCGTTTACTTTGCAGTATGTCTAACGTGAKACATATAAAAASGAAAAAATTATCATCTGTCGACGTGCATCATCAAGATTAACAAATAATTACTTTCCAGTCCCTTGAAACAAAATTCGCACGGTCGGGCATTGAGTGAAATAGGGGCCAAAACGTGCCATTACAACACCCGTTGTAGAATTCTTCAATTTCAGTTTTATCTAAGTGTACTGGAATAATCTATRATAATAAAATATTACGTTATATTATTCACTATAAACATTCGATAGACGTTACATAATATTATAGTACGTGACTTTTGACGAATGTCCAAACAACTACAGTTCTACGGGGACGTGAAACGGGAAAATGCCATTAATTAAAAATTACGCATGACAATATTATTACATTTAACTACGCATACCTACATAATATTATGTGGCGCAATTAAGMATTTTTGGCATATTATATTATTATGTATAGGTATATAAGTCAAATATTGGATACGATGATTKTTTTTCGATTTCATACGTATATTTTAGACTCTGAGCGGAGCGATGAATGTATTATTTTTACAATGATGTATGTTTTGATTTTATTTTTGCGYCTGTGTTCACTATAAGTTGTAGAAATTATGCTTAGATTTCAACTTCAGTAGCTTTTCCGGTTGAAAATTTAATATAGTTGGTACATTGGAGAGGCCAACATTTAAAATTCCCAGTAGTTTTCAAAAGCACCGAAAAAAAAAACAAAAAAATTAAGGAAAACAGGAATTTTGAATCAAAATCAGTTTTTGAGAAAATCGATTTTAGATATTGATGTAACTCTAAAACAAATTATCGCAGATACTTTAAATTTTCAATGAATATTTATATTGGAATTTTCCATACTAGATACAACTTTTAAAATATTTATATAAGTTGCTAATAGATATTTTCGATTATTATTTTTTTTTTTGTTTTTTGTTTTTTCTACCAATACAATTTTATTAGTTGAGTAAAAAGGCTTCAAAATTTAATACAAGACTCCTAATATATTGTTATAATGGTACTTAAAAAAATATTAAAACTACATAGATCGTCACAACATTTTTAATAAGCTAATAACCATTGAAAGTTCGAATTTTAATKCTTGAAAATTGATTACAAGYTTACCATACGTGTATATAAAAGAAATTATTGGAAAATATTAAAAATGCATAGGCATGTTATGATTTACAACTGTTTAAAGTTCAAATTTTGACAACATTTATCAAATAGAAAATCTACAAATTAC